CCGCTTTAACCTCTTCCATACTGAGCACTTTTACCCCCTTCCTGCCCAGGCCAGTTTTCAGGTTTCAGCGCTCTCACACTTTGAATGATAATTGCGCGGTCATACAACATTGTACCCAAACTAAAAATTGTTTATTTTGTTCACACAACTAGAGCTTTCTTTTGGTGGTATTTAATCACCGCTGCGGTTTTATTTTTTGCAAAAATAACAAAAAAAGGAAAATTAATTAAAAAAACACGTTTCTTTGTTTCTGTTATAAAAGTTTGCAAATAAATAATTCTTCTTCAAAATGTATTCTGCTACATTTCTTTGGTGAAAATAACACAAATCAGTATTTATTTAGTTTGTAGGAAAGTTGTAGAGTTCACAAACTATGGGATATATCTGAAAATCAATCCTGAAGTACTGACGGCCAATCTAATTTCTTGAGGTGCAAGAATGTCAGAACAGTACACATATCCCCCCAAATGTCAGGACGGTACAGATATCCCCCCAAATGTCAGAACGGTACAGATATCCCCCAAATGTCAGGACGGTACAGATATCCCCCAAATGTCAGAACGGTACAGATATCCCCCAAATGTCAGGACGGTACAGATATCCCCCAAATGTCAGAACAGTACAGATATCCCCCAAATTTCAGAACAGTACAGATATCCCCCAAATGTCAGGACAGTACAGATATCCCCCAAATGTCAGGACAGTACAGATATCCCCCAAATGTCAGAACGGTACAGATATCCCCCAAATGTCAGGACGGTACAGATATCCCCCAAATGTCAGGACAGTACAGATATCCCCCAAATGTCAGGACAGTACAGATATCCCCCAAATGTCAGAACAGTACAGATATCCCCCAAATGTCAGGACAGTACAGATATCCCCCAAATGTCAGGACAGAACAGATATTCCCCAAATGCCAGGACAGTACAGATATCCCCCAAATGTCAGGACAGTACAGACATCCCCCACATGTCAGGACAGTACAGATATCCCCCAAATGTCAGGACAGTACAGATATTCCCCAAATGCCAGGACAGTACAGATATCCCCCAAATGTCAGGACAGTACAGACATCCCCCACATGTCAGGACAGTACAGACATCCCCCAAATGTCAGGACAGTACAGATATACCCCAAATGTCAGGACAGTACAGATATCCCCAAATGTCAGGACAGTACAGATATCCCCCAAATGACCTCTTTTTGCAAAGTAGGCAGTCCGATGTAACTCATGGCGAGTTCTTTGAAGTTGTAATTTTTTTGTCAAAATATTTCGGAAAATGAAGGAATTAAAAAAAAAAAATGTTTACATACTGGTGAGGGTAAAGGTGATGGACTGGCCAAGCATGTCTCCAGACCTAAACCCTATTGGGCATCTGTGGGGCATCCTCAAACGGAAGGTCTCTAACATCCACCAGCTACGTGATGAAGTCATGGAGGAGTGAAAGAGGACCCAACTGGCAACCTGTGAAGCTCTGGTGAACTCCATGCCCAAGAGGGTTAAGGCAGTGCTGGAAAATAATGGCGGCCACACAAAATATTGACACTTTGGGCCCAATTTGAACCTTGTCACTTAGGGGTGGACTCACTTTTGTTGCCAGCGGTTTAGACATTAATGGCGGTGTGTGGAGTTATTCTGAGGGGACAGCAAATTTCCATGTTATACAAGCTGTACACTGACTACGTCACATTGTAGCAACGTGTCATTTCTTCAGTGTTGTCACATGAAAAGATAGAATCAAATATTTACAGAAATGTGAGGGGGGGGGGGGGTTCACTTCTGGGAGATACTGTGTATGCGTAAATTGAAGGCATTATATAAGTACCTGAAATCAATCACTATTGATACATCGATTCTCTGCTTCCGCATGGAATATGCATACATATACTGCTCCAGGCTGGATCAATGAAACAAATGTATTTTATATTTTAATAACTGAGTTCAGATATAATTAATAACCTGAAGTTTACTCTGCCTAAATTTCGCCTTCCCTGGTCTCCCGCCATCCTGGCCCTTGCAGGTCTATGAAGGAGTTAACCGGCTGTCACCATGGGACTTTCCAATTTTGGGGCGATCTGTCATCAAACATCTCTTTTAATAAATTCCATGTTATTACATCAGCCTCCCTAATGCTCGGTACAATTATCGCCGGGCCCCTGGAAGTCGCAGTCCGCCTCTACACTCGGCCTCATTAGCAACACAGGAAGTCGGTCCTCGTTACCACGTCTGCCTGTTAGGAAGAATATCAAATATGAAAAGTGTGAATATAATTAAAACTTGACTCAGAGGCGGCAGATGCGAGGTGCTGAGCGCTGCGGAGGAGAGAATCGTCAGACAGACGCGGGGACGGTGCGGCCAGGAGAGACCAGACGGTGTCAAGTGAGGTCACCGGAGAAGACGGGGCAAAACTCATCGATATACAACGTCTACCTGCCGAGAGAGAGCGCCAGAGCGATACGACTGCACATAATCAGACGTGGAGGCTTCTCTCGGCTTCACGCTGATGATACAGATTACAGATGCAGACTAATCAGAGAGAAGGTTGTGCTGGAAAACTGTGTTATATTTTCATTTAGAACACGGGATGCATTGAAAGAAAAATTCACATTGCTGCTCCTCCATTGAAAACTGCAGTCTGTGTGAACGGGGTGAAATCGAATGTTCACAGGCTATATTCTCGAATGTGTGAATGTGGAAAATACCGCATTACGGCCACTAGATGGCACAGACTATCACATGAAATATGTATGCTCCTCAGTGCCAACTAGTGGCCATAATGTGGTATTTTCCGGATTATTTTTTTTTTATTTTAATGCAGTTTTAATGGAAGAACAGTCTTAAAACGGACTTCCACCCAAAAGTGGAAGCTCAGCTGCCACATCTGGCACCTTTTGGGGGCGAGGGGGAAGCGGGTACCTGGTGTTGACAGGTACCCGCTCCCACTTCCGGCTCAGTTCCCCACACAGCCAGAAGTTTGCACCCCCTCCAGCCCTCTGGGAAACTTAACAGGTCCCATAGGACTGCAGCCCATTCACAAAGCACAGTGCGCATGTGCAGTAGGAGACCGACTGTGAAGCCGAAAGGCTTCACTGACAGCTTCCCTTACTCAAGATGGCAGTGCCAGCACCTGACAGCCGAATAAAGAATCGACTGGGGTGAAGACAGGGGCGGACTTACCATTTGGAAACCCAGGCGCTGCCCGAGGGCCCGGAGTCAGTAGAGGGCCCCATGAGATGCCCCTGGTACCTTTTTCATAGGTTTTTTTGAGTTTGGGCAAGGACACAGGGGCCCCATGATCCCCTATTGCCCGGGGGCCCCATGAGTTGTCAGTCCACCCCTGGGAGAAGACATCGCTGACTCCCTGGACAGGTAAGTGCTCTAATATTAAAAGTCAAGAGCTACAGGATTTTTTTTTTTTTCGGGGGGGGGAGGCGGGGGCCAGAATGCAGCTTTAAGTGGGCTTAGAATGGCGGTGGTACTGTCTGTCGAACGTGACAGAGGCAATAGTTTTTGGCATGCCTACGAAACAAAACATTGTGACCACAGAAAGCAGCTTGCTGTGGGGGCACTCAGCAGGGGGGAGGAGCCAGGAGTACCGAAGGGGGGGCCACACAAGGGAAGGATCCAGGCTGCAATCACTTTCAACTACATTTTAGTGCACATAAACACAATATATAACCCAATTTTTTAAAAGTTGAGGTTGTGCCGAGTAAATAGATACCCAACATGTCAAGCCGTGAAAGTGGGCGTGCCTGTGAAGTAATGGCAAACCTGGTTACCCGAAATGTTCCATAAGTGACACTTCAGAAGTCCCTACAGGTCATCATTTTAGAGATAAGCTCTCACTTCAGCATGGGCGGTGATATGTAACGCAAGGCTCAATAATTCCCAAGCACCAGGTCGCCATGGCAACTAGAAATTGCGTCCCGGCGCCTGGGTTCACTCACTGCCTTCCATTGACTTCAATGGGATATCGCGCCCCATAGGCTTCAATGGAAAATAGCCTCCCATAGGCTTCAATGGGAAATTGCCTCCTATAGACTTCAATGGGAAATTGCCTCCCATTGACTTCAATGGGAAATCGCGCCCCATAAGCTTCAATGGGAAATTACCTCCCATAGGTTTCAGTGGGAAATTGTGTGCTCACTCCCTCCCGAGCCGTCTCTGTGTGTCTATGAGACATGAAATAGGGTGGCTCAGCCCTGACCAGAAGGCCCCCCCTCCTCACTCCCTCCCTTTACCAATGGCCGCGGCTGCTGTGTCTCAGCCAATGAGGAGGCATACACATGGCGGGCTCAGGACAGTATATGGAGGGGATGCAGGGGGGGAGCTGCACTTAGAATGCATGGGGTTAAAATAAAGAAAACCTTCAGCAGAGGCATATTTAGAACCTTCAGGGCCCCAGTGAAGAAACCATGAAAGGCCTCCGGCCTGGGCCCTTCTCTCCAAGTTTGGTGGCAGAACACCAGGTCCCGGTCCCCAATGCGACCTTTGCAACCCTGGTAGTTCCGCCTCCGGGGTCAGTTTGTTTTTTCTTATTTTTCTTTTACAATATTATTTTTAATTTCTTTTTTACAATTTTGTGTAGGAGCCCCGCTGGGGGGGCTTCGGGGAAATATCACGTCTGAGACACGGCCCCCCATCTCCGCAGCCTCACCCCACCTTCAGAGCCACAGTAATGGATTTGTTTGGCTGACCATGAATGGTAAGCTCTTCTGCCAAGTCTGACCCTCCCTGACATGTTTCTGTTCCTGGAGATGATTGGCTGGAGCCGGAGACCTCATTCGCCCCAACAGTGACGTCATCCCTGTCCGGGGAGATGATGGATACAAATGTATCATTCTGTCTTCTATGTATCGGGAATGCGGAAGGACTCGCCCCGCCCCCTCCTATCGATACTACGGATCTTCCACCCGGGGCGTGTCCTTCCCGACTGACTCCTCCTCTCCTCGTACTCTACCCCGACCCCGCCTCCTCCTCGTGACCCCCTCAGACCCCGCCCCCCGCCATGTCGGCTTTGCGGTTCTCGGCCAACGTGAGCTGGATGTTCCCGGAGATCCCCGACCTACCGGAGCGGATCCGAGCCTCGGCCACAGCGGGGTTCCGGGCGGTGGAGGCGGCCTGGCCGTACGAGAGTCCAACCCAGGCCCTGCGGGGGGCACTGAGCGAGGGGCGGGGCCTGGAGATGGTCCTCATCAACACACCCCCGGGTACTGAGACCCCGCCCCCGTACTGACCCTCAATATTATCCCCCCTCCCCCATACTGATCCCTCAATATTATCACCCCTCCCCCATACTGATCCCTCAATATTATCACCCCTCCCCCATACTGATCCCTCAATATTATCACCCCTCCCCCATACTGATCCCTCAATATTATCACCCCTCCCCCAGGTGCTGAATATTGATCTCCCCAATATTTTCACCCCCCATACTTATGCCCCCTTTTATTATTACCCCTCCAGCTATACTGACAGTCCACTATGATCACCCCTCCATACTGACACCCCAATATGATCACCCCTCCTCCATACTGACACCCCAATATGATCACCCCTCCTCCATACTGACACCCCACCCCCCTATACAGAGATCCCGCCTCCATACTGACACCCCGCCCCTTATACAGAGATCCCTCCTCCATGTTGGCACCCCATTCCCTATACTGACACTCCACTATGATCACCCCTCCATACTGACACCCCACCCCTTATACAGAGGTCCCTCCTCCATACTGACACCCCACCCCTTATACAGAGGTCCCTCCTCCATACTGACACCCCATTCCCTATACGACACCCCAATATTATTACCACTCCCCCCTGAGACCCCCCAGTATTATCACTCTCCTATACTGACACCCCAATATGATCACCCTTCTCCCTATGAGACCCCCCAGTATTATCACCCCTTCCCCATACTGACACCCTATTCTTATCACCCCTCCCCCTATACCGAGGCCCCAATATTTTCACCCATACTGACCCCCCCAATATCACCCCCTCCCCCATACTGCTACTCCCCTTTATTATTACTCCTCCACCATACTGACCCCCTGATATCACTCCTCCCCCTAAGCTGACACCATAATAATATCACTCCTCCATACTGACACCCCGATAGTATCACATTTCCCCCCCATACTGATCCCTCCATATTATCACCCTTTCCCCAGGTACTGAATACTGCCCCCAATATTTTCACACTCCACCCCCATACTTATCCCCTCTATTATTATCACCCCTCCCCCTATAGTGACACCACAGTATTATCACCCCTCCCCCCAGGTAGTGAATGGTGACCCTCTCAATATTATCACCCCTCCTCCATACCGACCACCTTAAAATGATCAGCCCTTCCCCCTGGTACTGAATACTGACATGCCAATTTTAACCCCCCCCCCCAGGTAGTGACCCTATACTGAATGCTGCCCCCAATTATTACCCCTCCCCCCCCCCAATCCATTATACACGTTATGGTGACAACTAACCAGAAGTCTGTATGTAGGGGACACTCAGGCCGGGGAGTTGGGTCTCGGCGCCATACCTGGAAGACAAGACGCGTTCCGCGCCGGCCTGGACCAAGCTGTGCGATTGGCCACCGACCTGGACTGTCAGAGGTGAGGCCCGGCCTGTGATAGAGAGGACCTGTCACCGTACAAATCACAGAGCTGGACGTCCCGGGGGCCACCACCCTCATCCTTCCTGACCCTCCTGATCCAAAGTGCCCCCTAGTGGTCCTGAATGTTGCCTCACCAGGAATGTTCTACCCCCCTCATAGACTTCTATTACTCTTTGTTTACATTTAAAAACATTTTTTGCTAGAAAACTAAAAAAAAAAAATAAATTATATATATATATATATAAATGGTTTTTTTTTAGCAGAGATCATCGAGAATAAAATGGGTTTTGCAATGTTTTTTATGTCACGCGGTATTTGCACAGCAGTCTTTCGAACGCAATTTTTTGGTTGGAAAAAATTGTTTCATGAATTTTAATGAACACAAACACACTACAATACCCAATGTTATGATAAAACATGAAACAGGATATTACGCCGAGTAATTAGATACCAAACATGTCACGCTTTAAAATTGCGGTTTTGGAACGGCACCAATCTACGGTATTTTAAAATTCTCCATAGGCGACGCTTTGCAAATCTTTACAGGTTTCCAGTTCAGAGATACAGAGGAGGTCTGGCGCTGGAATTATTGCTCTCGCTCTGATGTTGGCAGTGATACCGCACAAGTGTGGTGCAATCGCCGTTTATGTATGCGTTCACCTGTGCATGCAAGCACGGGGGGGGGGGGGTTGGGGACAGGGGTGCTTTACATTTTTTTTTTTTACATTTTAGTATTTATTGTATTTAATTTTTTTCACACGGTTTCTTTCTTTTTTTTTTTTTTTGTATCCCTTTTATTACCGTCACAAGGAATGTAAACATCCCTTGTGACAGCAATAGGCAGTGACAGGTCCTCTTTATGGAGAGATCTGGGGGTCTGTTGGACCCTAGATATCTCCTCTGCCCTAAAAGCAGCTGATTGCACTGAGATGGGTGTGATCCGATGCTTTCCCTTTTTAAAAATGGCGCTGTTTACATCCGGGAAACCGCAAGTGACAGTAGTACTTGCATAGGCGTGCGCAGCTTATTGCCTGAGGATGTGCAGCGCCCCCCCCCCCCAGCTCACATACACATAGATCTCCCCTCCAGCATGTGATAGAGAGAAAGCACCTCACGTACGGCAAAGCTGGTCAGAAGGAGATCTTTCCCATCTTCCCGCTGGCGCACAGAGTGATAGTGCTAGTGCGCACTGGGTTGATTAGGGTGTGCCCAGGCACACCCGGCACACCCTGTGCGCACGCCCATGAGCTCTCCTTGCTTCCATTTTCCTGTGTCATAGAGCTCATTGGAGACCTTCCAGTCCTCCGATGGCTCTATGATAAGCTGGAACCACCGGCTTCAGTTCCAGGATCTCCGGTGGCATGGAGAGGCATGGGTGGGCAGCAGGAAAGGTGGAAGATGAACCCTCCCGTCACCTGTACTCACATAGGCGTGTGCAGCTTATTGCCTTAGGGTGTGCACCCCCCCCCCCCCCCATCTCATACACAAATTGATCTCCCCTCCAGCATGTGATAGAGAAGTGCGAAAGCACCTCATTTATGGCAAAGCCGGTCAGAAGGAGGTCTTTCCCATCTCCCCGCTGGCACACAAGAGTGATAATTCTAGTGAGTTGATTAGGGTGTGCCCAGGCACCCCCAGCACACGCCCATGAGCTCTCCTTGTTTCCATTTTCCTGTGTCACAGCTCATTGGAGACCTTCCAGTCCTCCAATGGCTCTATGATAAGCCACCGGCTTCAGTTCCAGGATCTCTGGTGGCATGGAGAGGTATCGGTGGACTGCGGGAAAGGGGGAGGAGGACCTCTCCCTGCACCTGTACTCACATAGGCGTGCACAGCTTATTGCCTTAGGATGTGCCCCCCCCCCCCCCCAGGTCACACACACATTGATCTCCCCTCCAGCATGTGATAGAGAAATGCGAAAGCACCTCATTTATGGCAAAGCCGGTCAAGAGATCTTTCCCATCTCCTCGCTGGTGCACAAAATGGTAATGCTAGTGTGCACCGGGTTGATTAGGGTGTGCCTAGGCTCACCCAGCAAACCTTGTGCGCACTCCCATGAGCACTCGTTACTTCTATTTTCCTGTGTCGTAGAGCTCATTGGAGACCTTCCAGTCCTCCAATGGCCCTATGATAAGCCGCCAGCTTCAGTTCCAGGATCTCTGGTGGCATGGAGATCCTGGAGAGGTACCGGTGGCCTGTGGGAAAGGGGGAAGATGACCCTTCCTGCCACCTGTAAAAGCCATCCAGCGACTAGTTAACCACCCAGATGGCTTTTACAAAAAAAAAAAAAGCAAGCCAGCCGCCAGCCAAAGAAAAACCATGCTGGGACGACACCTGCACCCCGCTATAACCCCTTGACACCCGTAGTGTTTATGTACGTTAGCGGTTCTTCAGGTGGTTACTTAATGCCGATGAAGGTGCGACGGCTCAAATGATGTGAGGAAACAAAGAGGGCGCTTTAAAGGGATATACTTCCAGTACTTCTACATCTCCTTTCACTCCAGTGACAATGGTAGGATTTTGGATTTCCATCACTATCTGTAGCAGGGAAAGTGGTCACGGGACCAGTAAAGATGGTGAAGTCCTTGTCAAGGCACAAGGGGTGAAGGGGTTCAGATTTACTTCAATTTTGTGGATTGTATATTTGGGGTTCTCATTACCGCTTTTCCTCTTACAGAATTCACATCATGGCAGGATGGGTCCCGGCCGGTCTGGATCGGGGGTCAGTAGACAAGGAAATGGAGGCGACGTTTGTGGAGAATCTCAGATACGCGGCAGATGTCCTAAATCAGGTGTGTGTGCGAGGATCTGTCCCAGGGACAATCGAGGTATGTTGTACTGACAGCTTTATGTAGATGAGGACAGCCGGAGCTTTCACTTCTCTTTTGTAGTTTTGGACAGAGCGGGGAGGAGTTATGATTTCTTTCAGGTTTCTGTTTTTCTGTTTCCATATGTAACCCTCATTGCAGAGATTTTCTGCCCCTGTGACACCAGGACAAGAAACATGAATCAGCGGGATGGGAAGACATGGACAACAATCGGTGCTGTTCCCATGGAAAAAATTCCTATGGCTTTCTGTCCAGGGAGAGAAATGCGGGCAAATGTCCCCAGTAATCCCCCTTCAATCCAAAGTTAAGTAAAAAGTTGGGCGGAGTTTGGCTTCAGAGATGTCCATCAGTCTAATGTTCAGAAGAAAACTTTGAATGGATACAGTTTTATGAATGCGGTTCAGTTTTTCAGCCAGTCTGTCCCCAGTCCATTCTGTCTGTTATCTGATGACACATCTGCTGCTGATCCTGGAACACACCTACTGGGTAGATTATCCCCGGTGAGGCAACTCCAAATTTAACATGGATAAGTGCACCTGACGCTGGTACCGGAACACACCATCTGCTAATCCTGGAACACACTTGCTAGTGCTGCTGGAACACACCTGCTGATCCTGGAACATCTGTTGCTGATCTTGGAACACACGAGCTGCAGACCCTGGAACACACCTACTTCTGATGATGGGATACATCTGTTGCTGATTCCAGAACACACCAGCTGCTGATCCTGGAAAACACCTTCTGCTGATCCTGAAACATGTGTTGCTGATCCTGGAAAACACCTGCTGATCCTGGAGCACATCTGTTGTTGATCCTGGAACACACCAGCTGCTGATCCTGGAACACACCAGCTGCTGATCTTGAAACATCTGTTGCTGATCCCAGAGCACCCCAGCTGCTGATCCTGGAACACGTTGCTGATCCCAGAATACTCCTGCTGATCTGGAACACATCTGTTGCTGATCCTGGAACACACCATCTGCTGATCCTAAAACACATCTGTTGCTGATCCCAGAACACACCAGCACACCAGCTGCTGATCCTGGAAAACACCTGTTGCTGATCCTGGAACACACCAGCTGCTGATCTTGAAACATCTGTTGCTGATCCCAGAGCACACCATCTACTGATCCTGGAATATATCTGTTGCTGATCCCAGAACACTTCTGCTGATCCCGGAACACATCTGTTGCTGATCCTGGAACACACCATCTGCTGATCCTAAAACACATCTGTTGCTGATCCTGGAAAACACCTGCTGACCCCGGAACACATCAACTGCTGATCCTGGAGCACACATACTGCTGATCCTGGAACACATCTGTTGCTGATCCCGGAACACATCAGCTGCTGATCCCGGAACACATCAGCTGCTGATCCCGGAACACATCAGCTGCTGATCCCGGAACACATCAGCTGCTGATCCCGGAACACATCAGCTGCTGATCCCGGAACACATCAGCTGCTGATCTCGGAACACATCAGCTGCTGATCCCGGAACACATCAGCTGCTGATCCCGGAACACATCAGCTGCTGATCCCGGAACACATCAGCTGCTGATCCCGGAACACATCAGCTGCTGATCCCGGAACACATCAGCTGCTGATCCCGGAACACATCAGCTGCTGATCCCGGAACACTACAGCTGCTGATCCCGGAACACATCTGTTACTGATCCCGGAACACATCTGTTACTGATTCCAGGACACACCAACTGCTGATCTTGAAACATCTGTTGCTGATCCCGGAACACATCTGTTGCTGATCCCGGAACACTCCTGCTGCTGATCCTGGAACACATCTGCTGCTGATCCTGGAACATATCTGTTGCTGATTCTGGAAAACACCATCTGCTGATCCTAAAACACACCTGCTGCTGATCCTAGAATACACCTGCTGTTCCTCCGAGGATACGCCTACTGCTGATCTCAGGACACATTTACAGCTGACCTCAGGACACACCTACTCCTATCTCAGGACACACTTGCTGCTGATCCTGGAACACTCCTGCTGCTGATCCTTGAACATAGATGCTGCTGATCCCGGAACACACCGGAATCTCATCTTTACGGCCCCTCCATTTTATTGGAGCACAGTCAGAAGACCTTTTCTCACCTTCATTTTATTGGAACGTGGTCAGGTGACCTTTTCTCACCTTTACGGCCCCTTCATTTTATTGTGGAGCTCTTACCAGGTATAGGTGAGAGCGGTCAGAGCTCCTCGTCTGGGAATGGTCACCAAATGGCAAGTTATCCATTTCACAGAGTCTTCAGGTTCTGCTGCGTTGGACGTTCACAGGTCAAGTCCCGGATTAATCAGTAACCGGCATTCCCAGAGGACACTCAGTGCTGCTTACATCAGCATTATTGGAACTGTCCCTGGACTATAACTCTTCAGTGCTCCTGCAGGTCCCAGGCAGTGAGCCATGCTGGCACTTGTAGTTCCTCCACATACAGGGAAAGGCACATGTTTTCCAAGGACAGGATATATAAAGGACAAATGACCCCAGATAATGACTGTGAGTGGGAGGTTGCAGGCCTTGTCCACACGGGCGTACTACAGTGTACACTAGTGGTGCACCGAAATTAAAATTCTGGACTGAAGCCGAAAATTCAGGATGTACCAAAAACTGAAACAGACAGCTTAAAAAAAAAAAAAAAAAAAAAATTAAGTTTAATTATATTAACCGCTTCTCGGCCGCCCTATAGCAGAAATACTGATACAGGGCGGCACGGGTGTGCAAAATCACATATATGTATTTGATTTTGCATTTCCGGGTAGGGGGCACGCATGCACCCTACCCGCACCGCCATTTGTGGCCTTGGTGGTCAATCACAGGGTCCTAGCCGGTGACTACTCGCCGGCACCCGGTGATTGTAGAGCATCTCCGACGGGGAGAACTGTTTGTAAACAAAACAGTTCCCTGTCAGCTCCTGCACACTGCTTTGGATGGCTGTGCACAACAGAGCCATACAAAGCAGTGTGCTTACAGTGAAGCACACGGACACAGCCCTCATAGTAAAACACACACACCCTACCCGCCCTTCCATTCGCGGCCGTGGACGTCAATCACCGGGTCCCAGCCGGTAATTACCGAGCATCTCCGATGGGGAGGAAGATTGTTATGTTTACAATCTTCCTCCATGACGGCTCGGGCACACTGCACAGCCATCCAGAGCAGTGTGATTACAGTGAAGCACCAACACCCCGCCCCCTAGTAAAACACTCCCAGCACACAGTTAACCCTTTGATCGCCCCTAATGTTAACCCCTTCCTGCCCAGTGCCATTAGTACAGTGTCAGTGGGTTTTTTTTTTAGCACTGATCACTGTATTGGTGTCACTGGGATGTCAGTGACACCAAGTCAGTTCCCTCCCAGTGTCAGAATGCCCGCCGCAGTCCCGCTATACGTCGCTGATCGCCGCCATTACTAGTAAACATTAAAAAAAAAATCCCAGTATATGCCGCCATTTGTAAACGCTATAACTTTCACGTAAACCGAATAATTTACGCGTATTGGGATTTTTTTTTAGCAAAGACACGGAGCAGAATACATTTTGACCAAAATTTATGACGAAATTTGATTTTTAATATTTTTTTTACTGGCCGTGTTTAATAGCAAAAATTCTGAAATATTGTTTTTTTTATCAAAATTGTCGGCCTTTTTTTTTGTATAGCGCAAAAGAAAGCTGAATTCATGGGAAAAAAAAGGATGTACATTTAATTTGGGTGCAGCGTTGCATGACTGCGCAATTGTCAGTTAAAGTAACGCAGCGCCGTAACGCAAAAAATGGCTCAGGAAGGAAGGGGGGGGGGGGGGGGGTAATCCTCAGGAGGGCGAGGGGTTATGTTCCACTTTTTAATATCATGAATTTAAATAATACCATCCAGTACGGTAAAATGACTTGACATGAGAACTGGACAGAAATAAAATGAATTAAATATAAAATGAGAACACGGAGCGGAGCTCCACCCAAAAGTGGTTTGGACATCTACACCCTCCCACTTGTGGCTGAGGTCGCTGCAGTGAACTGAGCCGGAAGTCTGGCCAGGGGAGGATGGAACAGACCACCACTGCAGCTGGGACGTGTCCGTGGTCTGTCTGTGGGATCCTCATGGCTGCGGTACATGGGGGGTCGGTGACCTCCGGGCAGCAGGATTGGTATATCAGGTTAGCGCACTGCGAGGGCTGTGATTGGCAGGCTCCTCTCTCATACTGGCTCTCTATTGGCAGGTTGGTATTGTTGGACTGATTGAGCCAATAAACTCTCGTATTACTGAGCCGCGGTACTTCCTAAATACGCCACATCAAGGTGAGGTGGGGGGGGGGGGGTGTGAGGGGGGCTTGGTCCCTATTGATTAATGCTATTGATCGTATTAATGTGATTTCAGCGGCTGCGATCTTACAGAAAGCGGGGAGAGAAAATCTGAAGATGCAGATGGTGAGCACTACACTGTGTGTACAGGGGGTCACCAGATAGATATCCAATATGGTGGTTGGATATGACATCACTGACGTGGAGGTGGGGTATGACATCACTGATATCTGATATACCAGGCGTATGACATCACTGATATGTGATATGGAGGTGGGGTATGACATCACTGATATGTGATATTGAGGTGGGGTATGACATCACTGATATGTGATATGGAGGCGGGGGTATGACATCACTGATATGTGATATGGAGGTGGGGTATGACATCACTGATATGTGATATGGAGGCGGGGGTATGACATCACTGATATGTGATATGGAGGCGGGGGTATGACATCACTGATATGTGATATGGAGGCGGGGGGTATGACATCACTGATATGTGATATGGAGGCGGGGGTATGACATCACTGATATGTGATATGGAGGCGGGGGGTATGACATCACTGATATGTGATATGGAGGCGGGGGTATGACATCACTGATATGTGATATGAAGGCGGGGTATGACATCACTGATATGTGATATGAAGGCGGGGTATGACATCACTGATATCTGATATACCAGGCGTATGACATCACTGATATGTGATATGGAGGTGGGGTATGACATCACTGATATGTGATATGGAGGTGGGGGGGTATGACATCACTGATATGTGATATTGAGGTGGGGTATGACATCACTGATATGTGATATGGAGGCGGGGTATGACATCACTGATATGTGATATTGAGGTGGGGTATGACATCACTGATATGTGATATGGAGGCGGGGGTATGACATCACTGATATGTGATATGGAGGTGGGGTATGACATCACTGATATGTGATATGGAGGCGGGGGTATGACATCACTGATATGTGATATGGAGGCGGGGGTATGACATCACTGATATGTGATATGGAGGCGGGGGTATGACATCACTGATATGTGATATGGAGGCGGGGGTATGACATCACTGATATGTGATATGGAGGCGGGGGGGTATGACATCACTGATATGTGATATGGAGGCGGGGGTATGACATCACTGATATGTGATATGAAGGCGGGGTATGACATCACTGATATGTGATATGAAGGCGGGGTATGACATCACTGATATCTGATATACCAGGCGTATGACATCACTGATATGTGATATGGAGGTGGGGTATGACATCACTGATATGTGATATTGAGGTGGGGTATGACATCACTGATATGTGATATGGAGGCGGGGGTATGACATCACTCATATGTGATATGGAGGCGGGGGTATGACATCACTGATATGTGATATGGAGGCGGGGGTATGACATCACTGATATGTGATATGGAGGCGGGGGTATGACATCACTGATATGTGATATGGAGGCGGGGGTATGACATCTCTGATATGTGATATGGAGGCGGGGGAATGACATCACTGATATGTGATATGGAGGCGGGGGTATGACATCACTGATATGTGATATTGAGGTGGGGTATGACATCACTGATATGTGATATGGAGGCGGGGGTATGACATCACTGATATGTGATATGGAGGCGGGGGTATGACATCACTGATATGTGATATGGAGGCGGGGGTATGACATCACTGATATGTGATATTGAGGCGGGGTATGACATCACTGATACGTGATATGGAGGCGGGGTATGACATCACTGATATGTGATATGGAGGCGGGGGTATGACATCACTGATATGTGATATGAAGGCGGGGGTATGACATCACTGATATGTGATATTGAGGCGGGGTATGACATCACTGATATGTGATATGGAGGCGGGGGTATGACATCACTGATATGTGATATGAAGGCGGGGTATGACATCACTGATATGTGATATGAAGGCGGGGTATGACATCACTGATATCTGATATACCAGGCGTATGACATCACTGATATGTGATATGGAGGCGGGGTATGACATCACTGATATGTGATATTGAGGTGGGGTATGACATCACTGATATGTGATATGGAGGCGGGGGTATGACATCACTGATATGTGATATGGAGGCGGGGGTATGACATCACTGATATGTGATATGGAGGTGGGGTATGACATCACTGATATGTGATATGGAGGCGGGGGTATGACATCACTGATATGTGATATGGAGGCGGGGGAATGACATCACTGATATGTGATATGGAGGCGGGGGTATGACATCACTGATATGTGATATGGAGGCGGGGGAATGACATCACTGATATGTGATATGGAGGTGGGGTATGACATCACTGATATGTGATATTGAGGTGGGGTATGACATCACTGATATGTGATATGGAGGCGGGGGTATGACATCACTGATATGTGATATGGAGGCGGGGGTATGACATCACTGATATGTGATATGGAGGCGGGGGTATGACATCACTGATATGTGATATTGAGGCGGGGTATGACATCACTGATACGTGATATGGAGGCGGGGGTATGACATCACTGATATGTGATATGGAGGCGGGGGTATGACATCACTGATATGTGATATGAAGGCGGGGTATGACATCACTGATATGTGATATTGAGGCGGGGTATGACATCACTGATATGTGATATGGAGGCGGGGTATGACATCACTGATATGTGATATGGAGGCGGGGTATGACATCACTGATATGTGATATGGAGGCGGGGTATGACATCACTGATATTTGGTATGGAGGTGGAGTATGACATCACTGATATGTGATATGGAGGCGGGGTATGACATCACTGATCTCTGACATACAGGGGGTATGACATCAGATATCTGATATGAAGGTGGGGTATGACATCACTGATATGTGATTTGGAGGCGGGGTATGACATCACTGATCTCTGACATACAGGGGGTATGACATCACTACTGTTTTCAGGACATCACACTTTCACTATGTGGTGGTCAGATATGGGGGGTGGCTGACGTGTTTTTCTCTGTGCGGCAGGATGTCTTCCACTGGCAGATCATGGATGGAAATCTGACTGAGAACATCAAGAGATATTTCCCATTGATTGGTGAGTCTCCGAGGTTCTGATATTCTCTGTGCTTCCCAGAAAGTTCACCTTTAAAAAATTAAAAATAATCGCACATCTTTTTGTAAGTAAAAAAAAAATGTTAATTTTTTTATGTTTTTTTACTTGGAGCCTGTAAGCATGACACCTGTGATCAGCAGACTGCCGGTGCCATGCAGGACCCCTGCACACTGTCAGTGCGTGGGCGGAGCTTGCGTTTATTTTAAAACAGTGACAGCATGTGGGGGGAGATCTCCTGCTAGCTATCACTAGATGCAGCACAGCAGACATCTAACACTTCCCTCCTCCCAGACTGACAATGCTGCTGTCTAAAAGGTGCCTCCTGTGCCCCTTCATCCAGAGTGGGGGCACTCTAATACAGGAGGGGTGTTACTGGTCAGATCAGCAGGTGAAAACAGAAAATTAAAATAAATTCTAATGCAGCCACCACATCTGATGATTGGTAAGCTGCAATACAGCGCCTTGAAAAAGTCCCCCCCCCGAAATGTCCCCCATGTTGTCACGTTACAATGTATTCCCCTCCCCCTCCCCCCCCCGAAATGTCCCCCCCCCCCCGATGTTCCCCCATGTTGTCACGTTACAATGTATTCCCCTCCCCCCCCCCCCCACCCCCCCCGAAATGTCCCCCATGTTGTCACGTTACAATGTATCCCCCTCCCCCCCCCCCCCCCGAAATGTCCCTCATGTTGTCACGTTACAATGCATTACCCCCTCCCCCTGAAATGTCCCCCATGTTGTCACGTTACAATGCATTCCCCCCCCTGAAATGTCCCCCATGTTGTCATGTTACAATGCATTCCCCCCTCCCCCCTGAAATGTCCCCCATGTTGTCATGTTACAATGTATTCCCCCTCCTCCCCTGCAATGTCCCCCATGTTGTCATGGTATAATGTATTCCCCCCTCCCCCCCCTGAAATGCAACCCATGTTGTCATGTTACAATGTACCCCCCCCCCCCCCCCCCCTAATTGTCCCCCATGTTGTCATGTTACAATGTATTCCCCCCCCCCCCCCATGTTGTCATGTTACAATGTATTCCCCCTCCCCCCTGAAATGTCCCCCATGTTGTCATGTTACAATGTATTCCCCCTCTCCCCTGAAATGTCCCCCATGTTGTCATGTGACAATGTATTCCCCCTCCCCCCCTGAAATGTCCCCCATGTTGTCATGTTACAATGTAATTTATTGGGATTGGATGTGATGGACCGACACAAAGTGGCCCGTAATTGTGAAGTGGAAGGAAAATGAGAAATGGTTTTCAACATTTTTTACAAATATATATCTGAAAAGTGTGGCAGCATTTGTATTCAGCCCCCTTTACTCTGATACCCCTAACTAAAATTTAGTGGAACCAATTGCCTTCAGAAGGCACCTAATTAGTAAATGAGTCCCCCCCGTGTGTCACGTGATCTCAGTATAAATCCAGCTGTTCTGTGAAGCCCTCAGAGGTTTGTTGAGAACATTAGTGAACAAACAGCATCATGAAGGCCAAGGAACAGACCAGACAGGTCAGGGATAAAGTTGTGGAGAAGCAGGGTTAGGTTATAAAAAAATCTCCCAAGCTTTGACCATCGCACGGAGCACTGTTCAATCCATCATCCAAAAATGGGAAGAGTACGGCACAACTGCCAACCTACCAAGACATGGCCGTCCACCTAAACTGACCGGCCGGCGAGGAGAGCATTCATCAGAGAAGCAGCCAAGAGGCTCATGGGAACTCTGGAGGAGGTGCAGAGATCACAGCTCAGGTGGGGGAATCTGTCCTCAGGACAACTATTAGTCGTGCACTCCACAAATCTGGCCTTTATGGAAGAATGACAAGAAGGAAGCCATTGTTGGAGGAAAGTCACAAGAAGTCCCGTTTGCAGTTTGTGAGAAGCCATGTGGGGGACACAGCAAACGTGGAAGAAGGGGCTCTGGTCAGAGGGGACCAAAATTGGACTTTTTTGGCCTAAAAGCAAAACGCTGTGTGGGGGAAAACTAACACTGCACATTCCCCTGAACACACCATCCCCACCGTGAAACATGTTGGTGGCAGCATCATGTGGTGGGGATGCTTTTCTTCAGCAGGGACAGGGAAGCTGGTCAGAGTTGATGAGAGATGGATGAAACCAAATACAGGGCAATCTTAGAAGAAAACCTGTTAGAGTCTGCAGAAAACTTGAGACCGGGGCGGAGGTTCCCCTTCCAGCGGGACAACGACCCGAAACATCCAGCCAGACCTACAATGGAATGGTTCCGATCAAAGCATCTTCATGTGTTAGAATGGCCCAGTCACAGTCCAGACCCAAATCCAATGGAGAATCTGTGGCCAGACCTGAAAATTGCTGTTCCCAGACGCTCTCCATCCAATCTGACAGCTTGAGCGATTCTGCAAAGAAGAACGGGCAGAAATGTCCCTCTCTAGATGTGCAAAGAGACATCCCCAAAAAGACTTGCAGCTGGAATGGCAGCCAAAGGGGGTCCTACAAAGTAATGACTCCGGGGGGCCAAATACAAATGTCACCACACTTCTCACAGATTTATTGGTCACAAATGTTGGAAACCATTTCTCATGTTCCTTCCACTTCACAATTATGTGCCACTTTGTGTCCATCACATCCAATCCCGATAGATACATTGTAACATGACAACATGGAGGGGGGGATACATTGTAACATGACAACGTGGGGGACATTTCAGGGGGGAGGGGAATACATTGTAACATTACAACATGGGGGACATTTCAGGGGGGGAATACATTGTAACATGACAACATGGGGGGCATTTCAGAGGGGGGGGGGGGTGGGGGTACATTGTAACATGACAACATGGGGGGCATTTCAGAGGGGGGGGGTACATTGTAACATGACAACATGGGGGGCATTTCGGGGGGTGGGGGGGGGGGATACATTGTAACATGACAACATGGGGGGCATTTCGGGGGGGGGATACATTGTAACATGACAACATGGGGGGCATTTTGGGAGGGGGGGATACATTGTAACATGACAACATGGGGGGCATTTCGGGGGGGGGGGGGGGATACATTGTAACATGACAACATGGGGGCATTTTGGGAGGGGGGGATACATTGTAACATGACAACATGGGGCATTTCGGGGGAGGGGGAATACATTGTAACATGACAACATGGGGGACATTTCAGGTGGGAATACATTGTAACATGACAACATGGGGGGCATTTCAGAGGGGGGGGGGATACATTGTAACATGACAACATGGGGGGCATTTCAGGGGGGGAGGAATACATTGTAACATGACAACATGGGGGGCATTTCAGGGGGGGAGGAATACATTGTAACATGACAACATGGGGGACATTTCAAGGGGGGAATACACTGTAACATGACAACATGGGGGACATTTCAGGGGGGGGGGGAATACATTGTAACATGACAACATGGGGGACATTTCAGGGGGGGAATACATTGTAACATGACAACATGGGGGACATTTCAGGGGGGGAGGAATACATTGTAACATGACAACATGGGGGGACATTTCGGGGGGGGGGAATACATTGTAACATGACAACATGGGGGACATTTCGGGGGGGGGGGGGAATACATTGTAACATGACAACATGGGGGACATTTCAGGGGGGGAATACATTGTAACATGACAACATGGGGGACATTTCAGGGGGGGAGGAATACATTGTAACATGACAACATGGGGGACATTTCGGGGGGGGGAGGAATACATTGTAACATGACAACATGGGGGACATTTCGGGGGGTGGGGGGGAATACATTGTAACATGACAACATGGGGGACATTTCAGGGGGTAATACATTGTAACATGACAACATGGGGGGCATTTCGGGGGGGGGGAATACATTGTAACATGACAACATGGGGGACATTTCAGGGGGGGAGGGGAATACATTGTAACATGACAACATGGGGGACATTTCAGGGGTGTGAAGACTTCTTCAAGGCGCTTTATCTGATATTTTTTGGTCCGTATGATTGGGGGGGGGTCTCTGTTTTCTCTTGCACTGTATATAGAGAGTATATATAAATGGAATGTTCCCCTGATAATAGGAGGACGCTGTGTTCTCCTGCAGCACATTGCTCCTGTATTGGACCTACCACACCGCGTTCTCCAGGAACTCCTGATATTCTGACCTCCGCTCATTTCTTTTCTCTTGAGGATTCAGCGGTATGTCCGCTCCTCGCTCTCTGCTCCTCGCTCTCTGCTCCTCGCTCTGCTCCTCGCTCTCTGCTCCTCGCTCTGCTCCTCGCTCTCTGCTCCTCGCTCTGCTCCTCGCTCTCTGCTCCTCGCTCTGCTCCTCGCTCTCTGCTCCTCGCTCTGCTCCTCGCTCTCTGCTCCTCGCTCTCTGCTCCTCGCTCTGCTCCTCGCTCTCTGCTCCTCGCTCTGCTCCTCGCTCTCTGCTCCTCGCTCCGCTCCTCGCCTCTGTAGATTGCACTGTCCTTGTGCTTCCCACACAAATTCCTCTCGTTCACCCCCCTAATCCATCCACCTGCTCTGAGCTTCCTGTGGAATTCTTTACATCCCCCGCTTTCCATTGTTAAACCTTCAAAAAAAAAATGCAGATAAAAGGTCAAAAACATAAAAAGAGGTCAGTCATGGAAGCCTTTGTTTCCCTCCCCCCCCCCACCAGGGTCACACGGGTGGCGGCACGTTACGCTCTGGTGGTGAATAGTAACCCGTATCTCCTTTTTTTTCTCTTATAAAAATAAAACTGTCCTAAAATTGTAAAACAAAAAATAGTTTTAAAAAAAAAAAAAATGTAGCCTCACCCACTTGCCCTCTGGGAAATGTACCATCCCCTTTATGACCAGCCCATTGTTTTTTTTTCTTTACGGCACTTGCGCTTCTTTAACTGGCACTTGTGCGGTCATGCAACGCTGTACCCAAATTAAATTTTCTGTCATTTTTTTTTTCACACAAATGGAGTTTTCTTTTGGTGGTATTTGATCATCACTGGGTTTAAAAAAAAAAAATTGCGCTATAAATTAAAAAAACCCAAAAACTAAAAAAAAAAAATTAAAAAACAAAAAAAAACACAATATTTTTCATTTTTTTGCTATAAAACATATCCAATAGAAAAAATTGGGCCAAAATGTATGTATTGTGTCTTTGGTAAAAAAAAAAAAATAATTGGTTTACGTGAAAGTCATAGCATCTACAAATGGCGGTTTATATACTGGAATTTTTGTTTATTCTTTTTTTATACTAGATATGGCAACTCAAAGCGGGACTGCGGTAGTGCGGCGGGCATTCTGACACTAACTGACACTAATTCACAATGATCAGTGCTAATAAAAAGCACTGACGCTGTATTAAGGACTCCGAACAGGAAGGGGTTAACATCTGGAGCGATCAAAGGGTTAACTGTGTGTTAGGGAGTGGTTTAAGTGTGTACGGTTTTACTAGGGGGGGTTCCGGCTTTCATCTCCCAATCAGAGTGATTCTGATTGGTCAAAGCAGTCAGATGCCAGTGCTCACCAATCAAAATTGCTCTGATCCATCCCAGTGTCCTTAACCCCTTGTCGCCGAACGCACGCAAATATGCCTCTTGGTGGCTGAGCCTTGGTGCCAAGGGGCCACAAATACGCACCGAGAGGGCGTGCCCTGCGCACTCACAGCACATTATGGAAAAGTCCTGATTGCCACTTGCTGTCGGGGTGATCATGGCGGTCACATGACCCTAAGCCCCACCCCGCCTCCCAGTGCCAGAAACCCCTTAATAGGCCAGGAGGCACCAGCACCAAGGGCAATCACGGCGGTCACATGACCTTAAACCCCACCCCATCTCCCAGCGCCAGAAACCCCTGAATGGGCCAGGAGGCTCCGGCGCCAATGGCGTTCATGGCGGACATATGATCCTAAACCCCGCCTCCCAGCGCCAGAAACCCCTGAATGGGCCAGAAGGCGCCAGCGCCAAGGGCAATCACAGTGGTCACATGACCTTAAACCCCACCCCATCTCCCAGCGCCAGAAACCCCTGAATGGGCCAGGAGGGCGCCGGCGCCAATGGCGTTCATGGCGGACATATGATCCTAAACCCCACCCTGCCTCCCAGTGCCAGAAACCCCTTAATGGACCGGGAGGCTCCAGCGCCAAGGGCGATCACATGATCTTAGACCCCACCCTGCCGCTCAGCACCACAAACCCCTCAATGGGCTGGGAGGCGCCGGCACCAAGGGGTTAAGGAAAGAAGCGGAAGATGGCCGTGGCTTTCATTTTCCCGGACTGCTAACCATCCATGGAGGAGGTAGTGCAGTGGGGAGGGTGTAGTGCAGTGGGGAGGGTGTAACATGTTCATTTTTTGTGACAAGGTGCATTTATATTTTACCCTCTTGTTGCCCTCCAGAGGATCCCCCCTTCCTGATCAGGCCATTTTTTTTTCGATATGGCGCTGCGTTACTTTAACTGACAATTGCGCGGTCATGCAACGCTGAACCCAAATGAAATTTACATCCTTTTCCCCCACAGATTGAGCTTTATTTTCGTGGTATTTAATCGCCTCTGCGCTTTTTCATTTGTTGCACTATAAACAAAAAAAGACCGACAATTTTGAGAAAAAAAAAAAACAGTATTTTTGACTTTTTGCTATTCAACATTTCCAGTGACAAAAAATTAAAAAAAAAATCAAATTTCGTCATGAATTTAGGCCAGAATTTATTCTGCTCCGTGTCTGCTAAAAAAAAAAATCCCAAGACGTGTAAATTAATTGATTTACGTGAAAGATGTAACGTCTACAAATGGCGGTATAGATACTGGGATTTTTATTATTTTTTGTTATACTAGTAATGGTGGCGATCAGCGACTTATAGCGGGACTGCGGCGGGCATTCTGACACTGGGGGGGGGGGGGGGGGGGGGGGGACTGCCACTGACAGTCCAATGAACTAATACAGTGATCAGTGCTAATAAAAAGCACTGACACTGTATTAATGGCACTGGGCAGGAAGGGGATAACATTTGGGGCGATCAAACGGTTAACTGTGTATTTTACTAGGGAGACATGCTGCTGTGTATTCCTCTTCTGTGCAGAGAACTACACAGCGGCATGTCCTTACTGACAGGTGAGAGACCTGTGCTGTTTACACACGTTTTCCCCCCCCCCCCTTCAGAGATACTCGGCGATCGCCCGGACCCAGTGATCGACATCTGTAGCCGCCAATGGCGGCGCGGGTAGGGCAGCGCGTGCGTGTGCGTGCCCCCTACCTGGAAATGCAAAATCACGTATACATATGTGTTTTTGTGCAGCCCTGCTTCATTGTAGCAGTACTTAAAAAATCTAATTTTGTCATAAATTTAGGCCAGAATGTATTCTGCTCCATGTCTTTGCTGTGTATTCCTCTTCTGTGCAGAGAAGTACACAGCAGCATGTCCTTGCTGACAGGGGAGAGATCTGTGCTGTTACACACTCGTCTCTCCCCTGTCAGTGATGCTCGGCAATCGCCGGGTGCCAGCGGGGAATCTCCAGCCGGGACCCAGTGATCGACATCTGAAGCTGCCAATGGCAGCGCGGGTAGGGCAGCGCATGCGTGTGCGTCCCCCTTACCCGGAAATGCAAAATCACGTATACATATGTGATTTTGTGCAGCCCTGCTTCATTGTAGCAGTACTTCTGCTATAGGGTGGTTAATAAAGGCCCCTTTACAAGGCAAGGCTCCCACCGATGATTGCCGAGACACAAGGTCCCCATTTTAAAACTCCAAAGGGCCACGTGTGGCCCTTCGGCCGCCAGTTTTTCATCAGGGCACTATACAGACCAATCAGTTTTTGGCTGCTGCAACTAAATCAGCTCGGTACAAAAGGCACCCGGGACAATTTGTGAAGTGGATCTGTCATGAAGTGGCACATTGTGAAGTGCGCCATTCCTGCCGCCTCCGATTCATACCCGCTGTATGAGGAGTAACTGCCCTTTAATACTCCCCGACGAATCCAGCCGGCCGGAGCTCTCGGGCCACAAGTGGCCGTCCTTCAGCGAGGACTCTCCGTCCTCCCTTCCCCCCCCCCCCGTCCTGGAGATGGCTGTGATTAGTCCGCCGCTACCATTTACATCTTCATCGGCCAAACAGACACTTCGATTTGTGCAGCTGCTAGCGGCGTCCGAACCCGTCTGCCAGAAATCATGTTGCTGTAATTATACGTTCCGGCGAGATAACGGCGGTAAAAAAAAAAAAAGTCGTCGGACAGAAGGTGTCATTCCACGGGAAAATGCGCTTATTGATTGGTGACGAACGACAAATTAGAAATTGTTCCGATCTACTTCCCTGTTGATTGCGGTGTGTCTCAGCGCGGCCCGCGTCTGCGGGAAACCGCCGCTAATAACGCTTTGTACGGTTGTGTGTGTGCAGGTCACGTCCAGATCGCACAGGTCCCTCACCGCCACGAGCCGGACAGCCCCGGAGAGCTGAACTTCCCGTATCTGTTTGACCTTCTGGAGGAGCTGGGCTACCAGGGATACGTCGGGTGTGAATACAGACCTCGCGGTGAGTGTTTGGCCGGATCTAGGCTGACTAATATGGGGGGCAGTAAAAAGAAGAAGTCAGAGGGGCAGAACGTCAACACTCGTTTTTATCCTCTCCTAGTCCCCTGCATCTCTATGTGACGGCAATGAAAAGCATCAGCGGGTATTGGGTCAGTGCTTCGCAATGTTTTTATAGTCATGGCACCCGTTAACTGGTTCACGCCCGGCCTGTTATACAATGGCGGATGGGCGGGACTGCTGGGAGGACGTCATGATGTCCCGCCCCCCATTCTTGACACACGGATTGGTGGTCAGGTACATCCCTCGGACACAGTGCATCACCGATCAGGGCAATGGCTCTTTACCATGTGATCACCTGTGTCCAATCACAGCTGATCACATGTAAACAAATGCCAGTTATTAGCATTTCCTTTCCTCAGCGTTGTCACTGTTGGGGGGGAAGGAAAGCCGATAACCTGACATCCTGTGACAGGGGACATTTACACTGATGATCAGTGCCCATCAGTGCAGCATATCGGCACCTCTTCATCATTGCCCAACAGTGCAGCATATCAGTGCCCATCAGTGCAGAACATCAATGCCCATCAGTGCAGCATATCAGCACCTCTTCATCATTGCCCATCAGTGCAGCTTATCATTGCCCATCAGTGTAGCATATTAGTGCCCATCAGTGCAGCATATCGCCACCTCTTCATCATTGCCCATCAGTGGAGCTTATCAGTGCCCATCAGTGCAGAACATCAATGCCCATCAGTGTAGCATATCGCCACCTCTTCATCATTGCCCATCAGTGGAGCTTATCAGTGCCCATCAGTGCAGAACATCAATGCCCATCAGTGTAGCATATCGCCACCTCTTCATCATTGCCCATCAGTGCAGAACATCAATGCCCATCAGTGCAGCATATCGCCACCTCTTCATCATTGCCCATCAGTGCAGCTTATCATTGCCCATCAGTGCAGCATATCGTCACCTCTTCATCATTGCCCATCAGTGCAGCATATCAGTGCTCATCAGTGCCTCTTCATCATTGCCCATCAGTGCCTCTTCATCATTTGTCCATCAGTGCCTCTTCAGTTTTTTTTTAATTTTCAGTCAGCAAACAATAAAAAAAATTCAGTGGTGATGAAATAACACCAAAAGAAAGCACTATCTGTCTCAAGCTTTAGGAGGGCCAGACTGCCTGTGGGAGTAGAAAATGTCTTGGTGGCAGTGGGAGTAAACTGTGTCCCCTTTTTGGTATAGGGGGAGGAAGGCTGCCTCATTATTGGTGTCAGTGGGAGGAATAGTGCCTCGTCGTTGGTGTCAGTGGGAGGAATAGTGCCTCGTCGTTGGTGTCAGTGGGAGGAATAGTGCCCCGTCGTTGGTGTCAGTGGGAGGAATAGTGCCCCGTCGTTGGTGTCAGTGGGAGGAATAGTGCCCCGTCGTTGGTGTCAGTGGGAGAAATAGTGTCCCGTCGTTGGTGTCAGTGGGAGGAATAGTGCCCCGTCGTTGGTGTCAGTGGGAGGAATAGTGCCCCGTCGTTGGTGTCAGTGGGGGGAATAGTGCCCCGTCGTTGGTGTCAGTGGGAGGAATAGTGCCCCGTCGTTGGTGTCAGTGGGGGGAATAGTGCCCCGTCGTTGGTGTCAGTGGGGGGAATAGTGCCCCGTCGTTGGTGTCAGTGGGAGGAATAGTGCCCCGTCGTTGGTGTCAGTGGGAGGAATAGTGCCCCGTCGTTGGTGTCAGTGGAAGGAATAGTGCCCCATCGTTGATGTCAGTGGGAGGAATAGTGCCCCATCGTTGGTGTCAGTGGGAGGATTAGTGCCCCATCGTTGGTGTCAGTGGGAGGAATAGTGCCCCATCCTTGGTGTCAGTGGGAGGAATAGTGCCCCGTCATTGGTGTCAGTGGGAGGAATAGTGCCCCGTCGTTGGTGTCAGTGGGAAGAATAGTGCCCCATCATTGGTGTCAGTGGGGGGAAGCTGCAATATAATATAAATGTTTGCTTTTGGGTGTAACCCCTCGCCCTACAGAACATCCCCCCCCCCCCCCCCCCCCCTTCCAGGCCATTTTTTTGCGATACGGCGCTGCGTTAATTTAACTGACAGATGCGTGCTCATGCAACGCTGCACCCAAATTAAATTTACATCCTTTTCCCCCCACAAATAGAGCTTTTTTTTCTGTGGTATTTGATTGCCTGTGCGGTTTTTATTTTTTGCACTATAAAAAAAAAGACCGACAATTTTGAGAAAAAAAAACTTTTTTTTGCTATAAAACATATCAGAGAATAGTGTCCCATCATTGGTATTAGTGGGAGGAATGACATCCCCAGTTCTTTCCCCCGTCAGAAATACTCGGCGATCACCGGCGACTAATCACTGGCCGGGACCCATTGATTGGCAGCCGAGGCCACGAATGGCGGTGCGGGTAGGGCTCACGCGCGCCCCTTATCCAGAACTGCAAAATCATGTGTATATAGGTGATTTTGCGCACCCCTGTAGCAGTATTTCTCCTGGAGGGCGGACGGGAAGTGGTTAATACCCCTTTACCCTTTTCTAAACGCTGTTTTCCAGGTGACACCGTAGCTGGACTCCGTTGGATGGAGGAGTATCATAAGAGGCGTGAAGAACGAACCAAGTCTAACTGAAGCCTTGAAATCCTACTAGTGCCATTCATAGGAGCCAATGCAACTGCAAGACCTCTGAACTACAACTCCCAGAATTCTGTGAGGCATACACATGGAGGGGGCAGAGGATCTGTAGAGTAAAAAACACAGGAAGGAAGGAAGTCTTTTTATAACAAGAAGAAAAGCAAAAACGATGCTCGGTGCTCACAGTCGGGTCCAAGCTGCACCATTTCGCTGATCAAGCACTGTTTGCATTTGTAATTCTACTTATGAAAATTGTAAATAATTGTTTTCTCTCTTCTAATTATTCTTTATTCATGGTAATTAAAAGGTGTTACTTTATTTTTCTATGCAGTTTTTCCTGTGGAGGGATAGGTATGTAATGTTATATTGATTAAATCACATTTGCAGTTCCCGTGTTTCTTGTCTTCACTGTCTCCATGTGGAGGCGGCCAGCTTGATAGAGGAGCAGGGCTTTGCTTACTCATATCAGAGCTCCTCCCCTTCTTGGATGACACGTGGGGTAATGATGAAGCAGCAGAAGTGCAGGGAACACAGATCCATAGAATGGAAGCAGCAGGGAGATCCTTGCACTGCAGGTTTTAAAAGGTACAGCTTCCTCTCCAGCAAGGAGAACAATGAGCAGCACAGTAATGACATCACCGGTCCTAAACTAAAACACCAAAACGACAGGCAGAGAGAAAACTCACAGCTTTGTATTACTGGTTCCTTAAAAGAGAAGTATGGCCAAAGTTCCTCTGTGGATCTCAGGCATGCACTTACTGCTCCCTGGGGACGCAGAATCAGTCGATAGTGCCCACTATCCGCTGAGAGAGCAAAGCAGCTTCAGGCTCTGGAAGGGTCCTGACAATATTTTCGGGATCCACCTAGCTACCCGACAGCTAGCTTCACCTCTCAGCATGTGGCTGAGACTCAGCTGTGTTCATCCCCTCTCCTGCTCAGTGCTCCATTGAACGCTGGAGTAGCAGAGCAAGGAGGCTTCCGGCTCTTGAAGGATCCTGACAATATTGTCGAGATCCACCCAGCTGCCTGACAGCTGGCTCCACCTCTCAGCCAGAGCCAGCTGCGCCCACCTCCTCCCCTGCTCAGTGCTCCAGAGGAGCAGAGTAGAGAGCATTGACTGTCAGTCACCACTCTCTGCTCTGAGCAGAGAACTGAGCGATCAGTGGTGATGTGATTGCTCCGTTCTCGGTATTACACCTGACATGGGACAGCCAGGGGGACACGGAGGAGTGTATAAATGTTTGTTATTTTTAAAAACCCCAAACTTCTCCTTTAAATTCAGGAGCTCACATCGACTGCTTTTAAACGGACATCAGCTTCTGTACATTTAGCGGTTTGCTTTACAGTTGCTGCACACGGATACATGGGTGTCATTAAAAATAAAATCACTTTCCCCCAGATGCCACTCAAGGATCCCACAGGACCCAGTCATGTGGACAAACCACTGTCACATGATCTTTGGAGGATGGTAGTTCATACTGGTAAATCTGGAAGGAACTTGGTCACATGACTAGCTGTGGTTGGATCTTTGAATAGCACCCTATGAATACGTGCCTAGCACGAAACGCGTCAGAGGGCTACAGCATCTGGACATCTAGCCACCGCTGGTGGCCATCCTGAATCTCTGGTCAGTATTGTTACTTTTTACATACCTACATTGGAATCAAGTTCATCCATACAATATCACACTATGTGGTGTCCCTTATTGGTCCTCTCCTCGTGAGTGCCGCCCTCCGCAGTGCCTGCCCTAAAGAGTTGACCCCGGATGTTGTGATTTACTGATGAACCCCAGAATCCTGTTGCGGCTGTGACCAGATGATAGTGAATGCAGCTTGACCTGAATACGGATGACCTTATGTGTGCCTGATGATACAGGAGACCTCCTATATGCGTATATAATACGCACTTCTGGTGAGTGCGCATTCTGATCATTTATATTTATCACCTCTGGATATCATATACACACCTTAAGCTGTGACTCTACAGGATCCCCACGTTACACATTTCTTCATTTGGACGCCTGATTTGACTGTGATTACCATTAGTGATATCACTTATTGTGCTTTATGCTCTGAAGGACGAATTTGCACATTGCATGTTACATTTGACCATTACTTGCACTTTATTACTCCTATCCCCAGCGCTGAGCCTTTACTATTTACATATGGAATTAACAATGCCCCATAATTTGTCATTGGGAGGAATAGTGCCCCATCATTGGTGTCAATGAGAGGAATATTCCTCCATCGTTGGTGTCAGTGGGAGGAATAGTGCTCCATCATTGGTGTCAGTGGGAGGAATAGTGCCCCATCATTGGTATCAGTGGGCGGAATAGTGCCCCATCATTGGTATCAGTGGGCGGAATAGTGCCCCATCACTGGTGTCAGTGGGAGGAATAGTGCCCCATCATTGGTATCAGTGGGAGGAATAGTGCCCCATCATTGGTATCAGTGTGGAGGAATAGTGCCCCATCATTGGTATCAGTGGGAGGAA